TTGGCACTGTCTGGAAGTGCCCTCAGATATATCGTTTACAATACAAAAAAAGCCTGGGTTTGTCTCCACGACCCTCTCACTTCAAGGGAATGGGAAGCCGAGTGAGGGTTTATTCCTTCAAATGAATATTTCCATTCCAGTTGCCAACCAGACACAAAGAGCCAAGCAGCGAGCAATTCCGGAGCAGCGAGCAATTCCGGGAGGGGCCTGGCAGTCTCAGCAAAGGGCCCGTGCAAAATGGGGAGAGGCCAGCCACCCCAAGGCTTCTCCTACAGCACAGCAAATGGAGCAGTCCAGCTGGGGAGCAAAAGGGGCAGCTCTAGTCTCCAAAGAAAGGGGTCGTCCGTCTGTGAGAAGGAAATAGGATAGGGAAACTATGATGAACATGAGCTTCAAAGCTCAGGTGTTGGGTCACATAGGTCTTCTTGGCACACCGGTATGTGTGGCATCCACACTGGTGTATGAATGGCAGGATGGGAAGCTCCAGCAGACATGGAGAGCAGGAAAGAGAGCAAAAGTGGACAGAGAGGGGCAGAGGAGCTGCCCTTGCTGCCTTGGCCGCATCTTTCTTCCTGAAGCAATCAATGGTGGAAAGAGCCTCCTTGTCCTCTCCACCAGGCCAGGAAAGAAGCTCTATCTACAGAGGTGAAGTAGGGTCATGAGCGATGGAAAAGAGGGCAGAACCCGCCCCACTGACTTTCACCGTTGAAGGCTGGGTTGCTAGGCTTTATCTGGAAAAAAGGAAGAGAAAGGCACGGGTAAGATTGCATTTCATGAATGAGCTTTGGAGAGAGAAATTAAAAACCTGCAATTAACAAATATACTGTAAAATCATAAACTCCTAGACCTTGAAAAGACTCCAAAGGTCATCCAGTCCAACCTTCTTCTGCCAGGCAATCAAAGCCCTCCCCACAGATGGCCATACTATTATCATGAAATTCGATGTATGGTTTGAATGAAATTGTATAAAAGGTGTATGGTTGGGGTCTATATGCCATCCCAAGACTGAAATCTGGAAAACTACAAGAAGAAGGTGAAGAATTCATGAACTGTAATTAAAAGTTGCTGATGAGAACTGTGGTGGAGGCTCCTTCTTTGGAGGCTGGATGGCCATCTGTCAGGGGTGTTTTGAATTCGATTTTCCTGCTTCTTGGCGGAATGGGGTTGGACTGGATGGCCCACCAGGTCTCTTCCAGCTCTATGATTCTATGACCATGACTAGCTGTTGAACTATTGGTGGAAAACAACATGTTTACATAATCAAACATAGTTAAGAGAAGGAAAACCAATATCTGCCAGGAACTGATAGGGAGCCAGGATGTTTCTGCCTGGAAAACAACTCATTTACAGCTTCTTCAACTTTTTGGAACAACATGAGCAAAAAAATTCTATATAAGAGACCTTCTAATATTTCAAAATGGTGGCAGACAGTTGGTCTGGTGGTCACCCGCCAAGTTCTTCTCCATGAGAAAGAACTTTTCTTTAATGTTTTAAAAAAATTCATGACAATGCCTCTGACGAAAAACCTCCTGAGTAGAACATTTAGCTTGAGAGTTGGACTACAACACTGCGAGAGGAGGATTTGGATCTCCTCTCATTTGGATCTCCCATTGGGTGATTTTGGACAAGTCATACTCTCTTCAATCCCAGAGGAAGGCAAGAGCAAACCCCCTTGGCTAAGAAAGCCCAATGGTAACTGGATGATCTTAGTGTGGCCATAAGTGTGAGACTTGGAGGCACACAA